AACAGCCTATCGGAACTCTTAGTAAGAGAGGGAAGGAAACCCTAAACTGCCCCCGCCCCCCACACGCATTACCACAGCAACTGACCTTGCTCTTTGTTTAATTACCTCACATCAAAGGATATTCTCCTCTTCACGCCCAGGTGTGAGAAACTCCAGGACACCAGGGACAGCCCTGAACTCCTTTGTGTAAACAAAAGAGTACTCTCCTCAAAACTCAAAGCATTACCTTGTTTAATGAAATAATCTTTTAGTTTAGTGCCATTTGAGTAGTTATGTTACCATGTTGGTGTATTTGTTGTTGAAAAGAATCTAAATAAGTTAATTTTGCAGTGTTTAATTTTTGGCAAGGATGGTTTCTTGGTGACCTCATGTGTTCTCTGTATATTTATGTTAAGTGCATTATTCCCTCCGCCTCAATAGGAGACATGGTGTTCATATCAATTGACCGATATGTTGCTATTTGTCACCCTCTGCATTATACCACCAGAATCACTGCGAGAAGAGTTAAACTTTGTGTTTGTCTGTGTTGGTTCTGTTCTGTTTTCTACAGCAGTTTCTTTCTACAGTATGGCCTGACTCAACCAGACAGGTATAATTCCTGCTATGGAGAGTGTGTGGTTATAGCTCACTATATCGCAGAAGCTGTTGACCTAGTTTTGAGCTTATTTTTTCCAGTTACTGTCATCATAGTTCTGTATATGAGAGTGTTTGTAGTGGCTGTGTCTCAGGCTCGTGCCATGCGCTCTCACATTACAGCTGTCACACACCAACGTTCAGTGACTCTAACAGTGAAGAAATCTGAGCTGAAAGCAGCCAGGACTCTTGGTGTTCTTGTAGTTGTGTTCCTAATATGTTTATTCCCATATTATGGTGTGTCTCTTGCAGGGGGCAACTCGCTCAATACTACTTCTGTAACCTTTGTAATAAATTTGTTTTATTTAAACTCGTGTCTAAACCCTGTGATTTATGCCATGTTCTACCCCTGGTTTAGAAAAGCAGTTAAACTTATTGTTACTCTTCAGATACTGCAGCCTGGCTCCTGTGAGGCCAACATACTGTAGTGACTGAAATGAGATCTGCTCTATGAAAGGTTTTCAATTACCTTAAATCCAAAAAGTGGAAGTGAAATTTATTTTTCTCTCTTTTTAAATAGAATATAAACTGTATATATTTACAAGTTGGCATGAACTGAAAACTAAACAATCCAAATCTAATCCCTATAGCCCACAGATGTGACAGGGGAGGTGGGTCAAGCATGTAGGAGGAGAAAATGGAACAGCATTAAACTGACTAGATTTTAGATTCTCTTGCTTATTATCAATACTTTGTGTTATGGATATATTTCTTTTTGTACATAATCATATGTATATACACATCTGTTAACGCAAATAAATCAATCACACCCTTTTTGATATCACATTTTCACATGTCATGTGTTTTCTCAATAACTGACCCACTTCAAACATTCAGAAATCTGAATAATCAGATCATAGATCAGAAATGCTTTGCATCTCTAGGAAGGAATAATATAAACTATATCATAAGCACCACGCACTGTTTCTCTGTTTATTTCATTCAGTTTCATCCAGTAAACTGTGAACTTACAAACATTATACAAATATTAATAGTCTTTTCTCTTAGGAAACCTTTTCTTTGTAACAGTAGACATTGCAACGCAACACAGCAACAGCACATCTGATGTTATTTACATTGTGACTGTGTAACAAAACTCTCACATGCTTTACATGTATCAACTTCCACCAGCTTGATTGTGTGGTTATTAACTGAAATAAACTGAATTAAATAAGCATTATAAAATTTTTATGGGACACATTGTTTTGATGTTATTAATTTTATTATAGTGATATACAGTATTTGTATAGATTATAGGAAGTCAAGTAGTACTTTACAATATACACTTTATATGTCCTTTAATTAATCAATTAAAACAATTTGGACTTTAGAGAACAACAAAAGATACACAGACACACCAATACAAAAACAAAAAACAAAGCAAACTAAGCACTCAATACAACAATTTGCTGAATCAATACAAAAAGCACAGCAATAAGGGTGACAAAGTTAACATGTGTGATGTTTTAATATAAATCAGTGTATTGGAGGTACTCCCAGTTAAAAGAAAGAGTCCAGAATTCAACAAAAAATGCTGTTCTTTGTGGATTCAACCATGAACAACTCAGCTGCCCTCAGTACGTGCTGTACATAACTTGACAGTCAGAAAAACACCTTTCTAACATCAAGAATATGAAGCCAGGGGTCCCTTTGTTTATTGTTGTTGCAAGGAAAGGTAAAACTAAAACATACAAAGTGTATAATCAACAAAATGCTTGCTTTCATCATGTACACATATTACTAGATTAGCTCACATAAAACTACAGATCACAGTCATGCTCACCTACTTCTTCTTACTGTGAAAACATATATGACTTTGAACATATTAGCTTAGTTGTGACAAACACCAGAACAACCTTATTGTCTGAGAAGTAGGTTATGGCCTCAAGGTCTAGTTTTGCTCAGATTAGGTCTGCTAACTTGACAGCAAGTACTGCTGAGCAAAGGTCCTGGGGCCTAATTTATAAAACTGTGTGTAGAATCCTCACTAAAAGTGTATGTGCTCCCAATAGCCAAAAAATTATTCAGACTTATAAAACCGTGTGTTGTAATAAATAACAATCAACTTGAAATGTGGCACATGAGAGGGAGCTCCATGTCCAACCCTTCAAAACGCCCATAGTTGCCTATAAATGGTCAGTGAAATGCCATTCATTGATATTAAAGAGGTGGTATTATTCACATTTTCAGGTTCAAAATCCTATTTAGGAGTTGTACCAGAACAGGTTTAAATGTTTTAATTAAAAAAAAACCCATCATATTCTTTGTCATACTGCACATTGCTGCAGCTCCTCTTTTCACCCTGTGTCGAAGGCTTAATTTTAGCTATGGGGTGATACATCTTGTCTCTAAATGATCTTTGTTGGGAGTTGCACATATAGACATAATACAGAGACAGACGCCCCATTGGCTGCTGGGCGCAAGAAATGCGGCTGCCATCTTGAACCGGTCGTCCTCCTAGTTGCGCAGCTGAAGAAAGCAAGATGCGAGCACTGTGCAGCATATTCATGCTCAAATCGGCGATCCATTGCAAACAGGGCTCGAGGGATTACTTTTCACAAGTAAGATTTAACATTACTGTACTACTGGTTGTATTTTGTGAATAGAATATTACCAGAGTGTTGAGAAGGAGCAAGGGTCTTTGATATTACTGTACTGAAATCGTAGCCAGCTAGCTAGGCTATGTTTACTGCACTGGCCGGTGTTCACCCGGCTATGAACTGAGACTTGATAAGTCTACACTGACTTAGTTTACAACTGACACAAGAATGCTATTGTAGAAAAAAACAAATATTACTGGTATAACATTGGCCAGCGAATTTTACACAAGTGGCACAGACTGTATTATCAGTGTTGGGCAGTCACTACTTGTAGTCTAGCTAGTAACTTAGTATTTTTGTGGTAGCTTCACTATTTACTGAATCAACTTTTCAGTAGCTTAACTACTTTATTTATCAAGTAGCTTGGCCACGCAAGCTACACTTTTCTTGTCATGCAAAATTAGCGCAACTTAAAGTAGCTTCTTGTGTAGTGAACAGGTCTACTGCTGTGTTTGCGTTACTTAGCATGCTACATTTGACTGGGTGGTAGCTTTTGTGTAGTGAAGCTTTATTCATGGCAGAGTAACTGATAGCTTAGCTCACTACAATTTCCAAGTAGCTTGCCCAACACTGTGTATTATTCACATGTAATTCACCCTGACAAAAAGTAAGATACCTCTCATGTCTCATACCCACCCACTTACTTAAAATAAAGGCAGAACATCTGACTGTAGAATGGTTTGAAAATGAGCTTATTCACAGTTTTATCAACTATGGTTCATTATCAACAGATATACATCAAAATAGGAGTTTTGTTGAAGAAGTGAAGTGAAGTGGTTTTTTTTAATCTTCTAATCTTAATCTTAATCATATTAATATGTATATTGTATATTATATTTGTATATATTAACAACAACAGCCTCTCTTGTCTCGGAAGACGGAAACCCATGACTTGAGCTTGGTTTGCGTCCCTCCTTTGTTTCCTCAGGCCACCTTGCAGGCTCCTGCAGACAAGTGTAGTTAATGTAAATTTTGCGTGTATAGGAGCTGCCCACTGGGCTGAAAGGAAAATGCTAGTAGAGCTTCCGGTCGCTAACTAGCTAGCTACCTACTGAAGTTTGTGTTTAAATCGTTGACAGTCCCTCAAGGCAACTTACCCTAACCTAACTATCACAGAAGTTTATGCCTAAACCTATGTCAGTAAATATACGTATGGCTAACTCTACAGCTGGTATGGTTAGCCTCCTTTATGTTGCAACGCAATAGCAAACTGCAGCATATCATACACATGCAGAATCAATGTTTTGTTTAAAATAGCCACGTTTTTTGTCAAAGCGTGTGTATATGACACTTCAGATGAGAACGGGTTGCTCCGCAGCAGCCATCGCTCCTGTCCCAGCACTCAACGGTATGGGCCGTTGGTCATCATATGTCTATGAACGCTACCTTTTGCCCGATGCTCAAGCCATCCTCAGTGTTCAATGGCCATGAGTACCCCATATCTGCTAGCCCATTTATCTATTACGTATATTAACTGTTGGTTTCACTTAATATTAATATAGTGATTTTTTAAGTGGTAGTAATTAATGTAATACTAATACCCATCTTTCATATTTAATAACGGAGGATTGGAGAGAACGTGATGAAGACGATGATGGTGATATGAAGAAGAAGAGAGGAGGGACATCAGTGTTCAATAGAGACTGAGAGAGAGAGGAGAGGAGGGACAAACTGAGTGTCAGAAAGAGATAAATCAAGTGTATGATAAAGTGTTCTGGTCAGAAGCTGCCAGAGCTGCAGCTCCTCCTTTCCTCCTCTCACTGTCTGATGGAGGTTGATGACGGAGCAGAACTCTGCTTTCCACAACTCCTCAACACCTCCTGCAGGAAGCCGACACTTCCTCAGTCTGAAGCTGTATTTCTGCACACTCTTGTGTTCTCCATTTCTCTGCTCACTGTGGCTCTCAACCTGCTTGTCATCATCTCAGTCTCCCACTTCAGGCAGATCAATTTCCCAGCAGAGTTTTAGAAATACAAGTTCTTCAAACTTTTAAATTTACGTTATCCACAATTTTCCACTATATGTTATGATACTTTTCTCTTTCCCTCCAGGCAGCTCCACACACCCACCAACATCCTCCTCCTCTCTCTGGCTGTCTCAGACTTTCTCGTGGCCCTCCTGCTGATGCCGGTAGAAATCCTTAGAAAAACATCCTGCTGGTTTCTTGGTGACCTTGTGTGTTCTCTGTTTGTCTGTGTATCATACACTATTCCCTCTACCTCTGTAGGAAACATGGTGCTCATCTCACTCGACCGGTATGTTGCTATTTGTCACCCTCTGCATTATACCACCAGAATTACTGAGAGAAGAGTTAAACTCTGTGTTTTTCTGTGTTGGTTCTGTTCTGTTTTCTACAGCAGTCTCTTTATAAACGATGACCTGACTCAACCAGGCAGGTATAATTCCTGCTACGGAGAGTGTGTTGTTGTAATTGACCATATCGCAGAAGCAGTTGACCTTGCTTTGACCTTTATTGTTCCAGTTTCTCTCATTGTAGTTCTGTATATGAGAGTGTTTGTAGTGGCTGTGTCTCAGGCTCGTGCCATGCGCTCTCACATTACAGCTGTCACACTCCAACGTTCAGTGACTCTAACAGCGAAGAAATCTGAGCTGAAAGCAGCCAGGACTCTTGGGGTTCTTGTAGTTGTGTTTCTAATATGTTTCTGCCCATATTACTGTGTGTCTCTTGCAGGGGGCAGCTTAATTAATACATCGTCTGTAAACTTTGTGATATATCTGTGTTATTTTAACTCATGTCTAAACCCTGTGATTTATACCATGTTCTACCCCTGGTTTAGAAAATCAGTTAAAGTCACTGTTACTCTTCAGATTCTGCAGCCTGGCTCCTGTGAGGCCAACATACTGTAGAGAGGCTGTGGTGTGACTGAAATAAGATCTGCTCTATAATGTTTTCAATGAATTTAAAATGAAATATATTTCTTCTCTCTCTTTAACAAGTATATACACAGTATATTTATGTTTTAGCCTGTGACCACTGACCACTTGTGACCACACTGAATAATGAATGAATAATCTGAATAATTAGATCATAATATCATCTATATCATGAGAACCATTCACTTTTTCTCTGTTCAGTTCATTTACTTTCATCCAGTAAGCTGTGAAATGACAAACATGATGCACATATTAAGTCAGTTCTCTCAGGAAACCTTTTTCTTTGTGACAGTAAACATTGCAGAGCAACACAACAACAGCACTTCTACTGTTATTTACATTGTGGCTGATGTAACAACACTCTCACATGCTTTACAGGTATCAAATTCCACCAGCTTGACTGTGTGTTTATTAAACTGAAATGAACTGAATTAAATAAGCATGATGAAATCATTTTGGGACACATTATTTTGATGCGATTTATTCAAGTTCACATAATGATTTAGTCTGTAAAATGCTGAGTATAGAAAGTTAAATAATACTTTACAATATACACTGTATATTGCATTTAACACTACAACTGCCAGGGTTCGTTGTATACCTATAATCGCCATAGCAGGTAAATTTTACCGCAATAAAAATGCCGTGATTTTTGTGATTATTTCTGCTACATGTTGCTCCAACACACTTTGGGAAACATTTAGCACATTGGCTGTGCATTTGCTATATACACCATCCCCATATTTCAGGCATTTACATAATGTTTATTCTATTTTATTCATTGTCTTCACCGTGCAGGTCGTTTGCCTGCGCTGCGCACATGCGGCGGCTCTTTTGATGTCATCCACACGCCGCTGTTATAGATGTTATAGCCTAGTTATATTCTAAACACAGCTCGAATTTAAATGCAGCAAACAATTTACAAAAAAGACTGACTGTTGTACTGTTTTATAGTAAGTAATAATAGCCTCATAATGTGCTAGTTCTTACTGTTCTGCTTGTTTTTTCAGACTCCATCTGGCATTCAGAGAGTAACATATAGCTAAAAAGTCCACATAAAAGTAAAAATTATTATTATCAATTCCAAAATTCATAGTAGATTTTTACCCAACGGAAAAATGTATAGGCCTAATGATCACGTTTACTAAAAAATACACAGTACTGGAAAAGTTATAGCCGGTCAAAAAGCACACGAGGAAGCCGCACGCTCAAGGGACCGCAGAACACACATCTATCAGATGGAAAGTTAGTTTTGATGTAGTCTACACAAAACCTATGAGCAGCGGCTTTTATGCATGTTTACTTCATTCAAGTGGATCGCTGTCAGATGCAGAATCAACCCAGGACACATCGCTCAGCCCCCACCGTCACACTCTCCTTCACTCACTGCGCTGAGCAAGTTTAACGCCTGTAGTGGGAAAGGCGTTGCCAATAGCAACATAGAATGTTTATCTAAATGCGTGACATGAACTGCACTAAAATGACTGTATTCTCTATAGGGGTAAATTTTGCCCGCTGGCGCTTATAGGTATAAATGTCATTTTTTGGCTTTATATTGACATTTTTTAACAATAAGGGGTGCTACATAACACACTTTTAGGAAAATTCAGAGACTGGGGGGCTTGAATATTATATTGAAACAAAGATACATACAATCAAAAAACAGCCATGGGTAAATTTGACCTGTTGGCGGTTCTAGTGTTAATCCATCAATTGAAACATAATTTAGAAACACAATGTAATTGTATTTATTTTAAAAACCACATAACCATATAATTCTGTGAAAAACAATGAAAATAATAACTTAAGACTGTGAGCTGGTAACAACCATAAACTGGTACCAACACTGCCACAGGTTCCAACCTCCACCATACAGCACTGGGAGGTTAGAACATTACCAAGGTTGATTGGTTGATTGGTGACCCTAAAATTGTCCTTAGGTGTGACTGTGAGCGTGACTGGTTGTATGTCTATGTGTGGCCCTGCGATGGATTGGCGACCCGTCCAGGGTGTACCCCACCTTTGGCCCAATGTCAGCTGCGATTGGCTCCCACCGCGACCCGCAAGTTGGGGGTTTCTTAATATATGGTCAGGTTTGGTATAAGCTGAATATCAAAGATATTCTAGAGATATTAATAAAATTATTAATATTTAAAATTATTAATTATAATTAATAAATACGGCACCACCCTGGAATCAGGGACCAATAACCAAATATGAGCCAAGTATGATCAGTCTAAAAGAAGGTTGTCTACCTATAGAAGGCAAACAGAGAAGGGTGAATCTGTACACTGGCCGTGGTAACCAACTCTTACTAATACATTATAAACAAATAATCACAGGCAACGACTTCTTAAAATTATAAAAGGCTTTAATCAACTCAAGCATAGATCAATGATCAATAACTTTAGCAAGTAAATCACTATTAACTATTCTAAGCAAAATGAAATGAAGCTAATAAACAAATCATACGAAAACATACAACTATCTAGCACGCGTGTCTGTGTGTGTGTGTGTGTGTGTGTGTGTGTGTGTGTGTGTGTGTGTGTGTGTGTGTGTGTGTGTGTGTGAGAGACAAAGGAGGGGAGAGACTAAGAGAGGGGGATGGATCTGACCACCCACAGAATCGGGCAATCACTCTCCCCTGAACTAAAAAATTGGAGACCTCTGATGCTAGCCTGCTGTGGGTCACAGGTGTGGTTAGCTTCAGAGATCACGTGGTGTGTGCATGTGGGGTTAGTAAGCAGAAGGAGGAGAGAAAGGCACAGAGAAACTATATACACTAAACCAGTCTATCCTACAGCCACCAGCAGTGAATGATTCATTCAGCAGCGGTTGCTGGCTTTTGATTGGATAGAATGTGCTATTGCATCTGTTCTCAGAAAGAAGCCAACACCAAAATCCTTATTACTGTTGAAAACACTCAGCTACAACTTTATCAATGAGAGGAACGGTAGTGAACTTGTGTTCAGCAACCGTGTTCCTTGGTTTGATAAAAATACTGATACGTTTTCATGCATTAATAGGAACAAAGCAGTTGCGGCCCCGCGGGTGGTAACGGACACAAACAACGTGCGTAGTGTGAGAAATACATTATAAGTTGCTGATTTTTGAATTTCACTGTAACTAACTTGTGAGAAATTAGCATTAGTTTCTAATCAAAGGCTGATTTACAATAAACGTCTTGTGGCATTTAGGTGAGAGTTTTAACATAGACCAATCATTAGACAGAGAAACATCTCTGATGCCTTATACATCTGCATTTCCTTTCTCAGCTTAGGAAGAGTTTTTGAGTGTATGCTAATACTCTGCCATTTGTTTTCCTTCAGTAAGGCAGTCCGCCTCGCAAAACGAGAGAGGAACCCGCCTGACTGCAGTGATTTGCGAGGATAATGTGTTGTTTTGGGTTTAGTGGGGCATCCAGGGTCTCTAGCAGTTATTGTGTAATGTCCATCATGTCTTTCCGGACTTGTAAGACCTCCATTGAGTCATGCACTAATGTGGGTTACGTCCCTCAGTTTAGCATGGTTGCTCACAAATGGCTGCTTTGGTGCTATGTTATGCCCAGATGGTCTGTTAGGGGTTTCACCCACTGCTAGCTCTTCCAGCAACTCTGAGTTGTGCCTTGATGGAGGATGCCATGTGACGTAGCTTGCTTCTGACAATGCTTCCTCAGGTAATGCGGCGTGGATGGATGCCTGGGTCTGTGACACATTAAGTTTAGCTTGTGCCTCTACATATTCCTTAGTGTGTGTTGCAACTTAATTTAGCAAAACTTCTGGAGAGGACGAACTGGACTTGATGGAGCCTTCTAGTTCTAACTCAGCTGCTTCTAATGCCTCAGCTTGGGCAATGGCTGCGGCTGCCTCTCTTTGGAGTGCAAGTGTGCTTAGTTCAGCTTCCAGCTTTGCTTTCCCCAATTGTAACTCTGCTTCCTTCGCTGCTCTTTGTACCTTGAGTTTCGCTTCTTTCTCAGCAAATGCTGCTCGTGCCGTTGCTGCCTCTGCTTTAGCAAGCACGCTTATTGCTGTACTAGATGTCGAAGAGTGAGAGCTCTTTGATTTTCGTGTGCTCACAGATGCATTGTCAGTCTTTGCTAGTTCCATTTTTTCTTGACTTGCTTTCCTACTTGCTTCTCAAGATGCTGAAACTCCAGCTGAATTACACTTTTTCACTGTACTGTCCTCGCTGAGGTGTGGCAACTCCAACAAGACAGTGGGCTAAACTCTCTTATATTCAAGAACGTGAAGAATGCCTGAATTCTTGCAGATTTATTTTCACTCTTCACATTGTACTGAATCCACATTGATAAGCAAAAGGGAGACTGAGAGTGAAACTAGAAGAATAACAATACAAAAATACTGCAATTAGTTAGCCACCTAGTTTCATGAACATTACTTTAAACTAACTATCTTGTAATGCTAACTTTTCCTTGTGCTACAATTATCATCCATAGTCTTTAACAATGTCACATTGTTTTTAGCCTTATAACTTTGTTTTTACAAAATGAAAATCAACATACTAATCAGTTGACTCAGTTAGAACAAAGATGAAATACATACATGCGATGCTTCTGCTGAGGAATCAACAGGTAAGATGTCCTTTCTCTGGTGTAATGAACGTCTGCATTGTTAACCAGTCTGCCGTTTCTACATACTTAGACCGTGGTAACTGTTGATTTTCCTTCCTACTTCCTGTTTCAGCCGAATTTACGGATGTCAAAATAAAAGCATATGAAACTTAAGTTGTACCAAGCTAAATGCATGAAAATTAAACTTAAATGCCTGAAGGGCAGAACACTTCCATTTATGGAAAGTTTGGGGTGGAAAGTTTGCCGAAGATGCGTTGTTCACGTGTACACATTTTCATGCAGAATGGCGACGCCGCTGCATGCTGACAAGCTGGGTGGACAGCATTCTGAGATGAGGCTACTCTCTGCAGTTCTGCTGCATACCACCAGTTTTCCAGCACATAATGGAAGCCAGTCTATCCTCTCAAGAGGAAGTGGACTTCCTGGCCGCCAGATCCAGCAACTTCTGCTGAAGCAGGCTGTCTTAGAGCATCTCTGCACAGGCGAAGACAGCGACTGGTGTCGTGTCTCTGCACCTCAGTAGGACTTGCTGCTTGTGTTGGTGGCTCTAATATCTGCACCTTATTAGTCCTCATTGAAAATACTATCTCTTGAACAGCCCTGGGCCTTGCTCTCACCTCTGCTAAGAAGGTGAGTGAGCTGTGTGCCTGTCAGTTCACCCCAGCTGCATGCTGGTTCTTGGTGTCCACAGTGCAGCCGGATTGAGACAACACACCTCCTTTGTTCTTAAGAACATAAGGATTCGATGCACTGGTCAGCTGTAGCTGCAGTCAGTAAAACCCTGTCCAAGAAGAGCCTGGTCAGCTGACTTTTGTGAGTGAATCTCACAAGCCTGTACACGGGCGTTTCAGTGAGAAGTCAGGGCAGTGCAGGTGTTAATGGTCAGGCCAAGCCCCTATTGGTCCAGCGACCTTCTCAGGGTGTCCCACCTTTCGGTTACTAGGTGATGTGGTTGCCCGGGCTGTGGTCGGCCTGAGGCCGACCGGGTTGTCGTGGCTTGTCGTGGCTAGGGCGGAGAGTCATCGGGCTCCACCCACTGTACCCATAGAGTCCAGTAGAGCCTGTGTGAGATAGAACGAAGGTTACGATATGGTAACCCTAGTTCTATAAGCACAGGCGGAGCCGCTCTGATGCCGTCTGCTGAAGAGGCAGTCAGATGCTGAGGCAGTAGGGAAACTGCTATTTATACATCACGTCGTATCGGTAGCGACGTCCTATTGGTCCTATTGGATAATCATTTCAGTTGCAGTTTGTGCTTATAGAACTAGGTTACCATATCGTAACCTTCATTTCAAACATTATGTTCCACTCAGGAGGGAAAATATCTGGGTGTATGAGATGATAAATATATTATTATACTCTGTGATAAACTCATTTCAGTGTCTAGCATACACAATTGTAAACAAAACGAGTGCACCATAATGCAAGTGCCATATGGCTGATAGAGTTTCTCCAGAGTTAGTTTTTGTTTGATAAGATCTGAACATATTACAATATGGAAGATTAGAGTGATGTGTGAATGATAAAACCCATTGCAAGTAAAAGCAAATCTGTTCAGTGAGTCTGAGTCAGTAAAAAACATGGGGAACAAATCGGGGCAAAACTTAATACTTTGCATGACACTCTTTCAGGTCTAGCTAAAGTAATGGTAAAAAAAATGGTGTTGTTGTTGATGTTTCACTTTGGCATGATGTAACTGAAGGCATTTTTTCTATCCTAGGTACAGATTGTTTAGGAGATGTAAATTATGTTGACAGAGAAAGCAAAGAAAATAGGAAAGAAAAAGACTGATTGGCAAGCTTTTGAGAAATGGGAAAAAGAAGCACATTTGAGAGAACAAAATCAGTGGCAGGGTTAAGGGTAAAACAACAGATAAGGAAGGCAGTT